GCTGAGGCTGAGGCTGAGCAGGCTGAGGCTGAGGCTGAGGCTGATGCAGGCTGAGGCCGAGAGGCTGACGCTGAGGCAGACTGAGGCTGAGGCTGAGGCCTAGGCAGGCTGATGGGGCAAGCCGAGGCAGGCTGAGGCTGAGGCTGAAGCTGAGGCTGAGGCTGAAGCTGAGACAGGCTGAGGCTGAGGCTGAGGCTGTGGCTGAGGCTGAAGCAAGCTGCGGCTGAGGCAGGCTGACGCTGAGGCTGATGCAGGCTGAGGCTGAGGCAGGCTGAGGCTGAGGCTGAGGCTGAGGCAGGCTGAGGCTGAGGTTGAGGCCGAGGCAGGCTGAGGCTGAGGCCGAGGCAAGCCGAGGCAGGCCGAGGCTGAAACTGAGGCTGATGCTGAGGCAGGCTGAGGCTGAGGCAGGCTGAGGCTGAGGCTGAGGCAGGCTGAGGCTGAGGCAGGCTGAGGCTGAGGCAGGCTGAGGCTGAGGTCGAGGCAGGCTGAGGCGGCTGAAGCAGGCTGAGGCTGAGGCAGAAGCTGAGGCAGGCTGAGGCTGAGGCTGAGGCTGAGACAGGCTGAGGCTGAGGCTGAGGCAGGCTGAGGCTGAGGCAGGCTGAGGCTGAGGCAGGACTGAGGCTGAGGCAGGCTGAGGCTGAGGCTGAGGCAGGCTGAGGCTGAGGCTAAGGATTCCTACGGATTCCTATGGATGCCTTAGGAATCCCTAGGAATCCTTAGGATTCCATTGGATCCTAAGGCCGTAGCCACTGCGACTGTCATTGCAAATGCGACTGCGACTGCGAGAACAACAGAATTCGACAACTGGATTCTCACCTGAATCTTAAGGGGAATGCTTCCAGATATGCTTATACACATCGCTGTTAGGTTTCTTTGCCGGGATAATTTTGTGGCGGTGCCACTGAGGCCGCTGGACCTGCCGGCGCTGTTGGCGCCGTTGGTGCTCCTGAAGCTGGCGCGGATGGCGGCTCTTCCCCCGCTGCTGCCGGACTGCCCGGCGACGCGGTCGCCGGGGCCGCCGGTGCTGCAGGGGCTTGCGCGCGGCCCATGAGGTCGGCCATTCCCTCGTCGCAGTCGTCGCAATTCGGCTTCGCGCGGCGAGGGCGAGGGCGGCGGCGACGATGTCCCTGCCCAAATTGACCAACGGCGGCGGCCAATGGGTCGCCACAAGCCGCCCGACTCAGAACTCGGAATAGCCGCCAGCGCTGCCCGCCGCGGCGCGGGCGCCGCCAGCGATAGCTGCATAGCCGCAAGAGAGGAGAGCGCCCCCGCGCCGGCGGCGCCGGGGGCGGTCGCGCACGAGGTGCTCCTCGGAGTCGCACTCGTGGCATTTGAGACGCGCCCCGCTAAGGCCCGCGCGGTTGCCCTGGCGGCCCGCGCCCGCGCCCGCAGCCCCGAATTTTCCATGCCCCTTGCCCTTGCCCTTGCCCTTCCCGGAGCCCGCGAACGTCTCCTGGAGGTCGTTCTCGGACAAGGTGGCTGGGAAAGCGCGGTAGCTCCTTGCCCCGCCGTTCGGTGGCCCCCTCGACGCGGCGCGCGGGCTCGCGGCAGTTGAAGCTGCGCCGGCGTGCTTCGGCGCGCTCGCGTGACTCGGGGTCGTCGGGGGCTATCTCCTCGCCGAATGGCGTCGGCGTCGGCGCCTGATCCAATCTCCGCTGCTGGGCGCGCCCCCCGCGCAAGCGGTGCCGCGCTAGAGACGCAGCCCCCCGGCGAGGCCACGGCCGGCGCAGGGGCCTCGGCGCCGACCCCGGCGCGGCAGGGCCCGCGCCGTCCCAGCCCCGCCCCCGCGCGGGCGCGCGCGGGAGGAACGCGCGCCGTTGGGCAGAGCTGGCCGCCGAGGTAAGGTTGCCGAGCGATCGCTCTATCATGCGCGCAAAACGTCTCAGCTGGCCCGTCGCGCCGGTGAACTGCCGAACGTTCGCGGGGAAGGCCATGTCGCAATGCTGCCGGGGCACGGTGAGTTAAACTTTCGACACTCCGACGGCGCGCAACAACAGGAAGCCGAGTCTTTCGTGGCCGATCATGAATATGCCAGCTTCCTACGCGCGGTTACGGGGGATGTCGAAGCTCGTTAGGTGTCGATGCGCCCCCGTGACAATCGGTTGAGATTCACCAGAGCCGACGCTGCCGAGGCGCGCCCCCCCTCGCCCTGCTGGCCCCCTGTTTCGGCCAAGCTGCGCATTGGGGCGGTCATGGGCGGCGCTGGGCTGCCATTGATGAGACCTCCTGGGACCTGGGCAGCCGGCAGCCATTCGTCCGCGCACTCGCGCGCCGTGCTGGTCAAGGCGCGACGTGACGCGGGCCGCCCGGCGAAACTCGTGGCTGTCTGACTGTCTGAGTTGCCACTGACCAGATCATCACCTCGCGCGCTCATTCGAATCCTGGAATCGCACGCAAGCCTGGCGTTCGGGCCCCCAGGTGCCGAGGTGCCGCGCGATGCCGCTGCCGCCGCCTGCGTCCACGCAGGCGATGCAGCTTGCGATGGCGCACATGCCGACTCCGATGGCCTTCCATCCAGAACGAACCCCCTCCACGTGCCGCTAAGGTTCTGGAGGCTGGGGTTCCTCGAGCGACTTTGCATGAATCGCCGAGGATATTTGCCCCGGATGTGTCCTCCTCGTCAGCGCATTGGGCGTCCGCTTCTGTCGCGCCGCTGCGGCGCTCGCACCGCTCGGAACATCCCGCGACACAATCACGGGAATGCGATTCGTACGTCGTGCGGTCACTGTACTGGGCACCGCGAGTTGCACGATCGTCTGAAGAAGCGCGCATCGAGATCCCGCCCTGCCGGGTCAGAGCAGGGAAAGCGAAGGGTCGGGCCCCGAGGTGTCGGAGCGATGGCGCCCCAATCGTCGTGCCCTCCGCTGCGTTCTCGGCAGCGGGGGGAACTCAGTTCCCGCGCTCTCCACTGCATCCCGGCTCGGCACCGACGACACAATTGCTGGGCGCCTATTATCAGTTTGCTTTTCCCTGGGCGCTCGAAACACAATCGCAAAAAACTCTGGACCTCGTTATGACATCGCAGATGTGATCGTCGCGACGAGCAACTGTCTAACACCTGAAGCTACACCCGCGGGGGGGGGGCACTGACACCTTGGAAGCCGCGAGCTGCCTCGACAGAGTCCGAACATGCCCGGGATGGGCTGCGCAGCGGTCCTTGTAGATCTTGGTGGCGTTGACTTGGATGCTGCACTGGTTGCGCACGTTCTCGCTCGTTGATGGGCGGATGCCCCGACGGACCCTCGAGTAACGTCTCCAACCGTGGTGAGCGGGCAAAATTGCACGAACGTGGCGGTGTTGAAAGCGGTGCGCACGCTCCCGGTCGCGAGTCCTGGCGGATGGGCGGCAAAGCCCCAAAACAGATAAAGTAACGTATCCTGCCAAACAAACGGGGGGGAAATGCACGAAGGCGTAGATGATGAAGGCGATTGACCGAACTCGAAGGCGGCGGGAGGTGGAAGCCATTGCGGTCGACGCGAGGCGAAACATAGCGGCCTTGGTGGGAGCTGTAGTGAAGCAGCTCCGCTAAGAAGAGAAACGGGGATGTAGACATTAAACAACGTACTGTTCAAAATCCCCGTGAAACCGGGATCGTATCTGGTCAGCGGGAAGACACCTGAAGTCGCCTCGAAAGCGGGCACGGGAGGATATCCTCCCGGCCCCGGAGCACAAATGGCTGCATAATGGAATGACCATTACAGCAGGCAAAGGTGAGAAGGGACAGGTGAGCTACCGTTCGTGAAGGGGAGGGAGGAGGAGGAGGCGGAGGAGGAGGACGAGGAGGAGGACGAGTAGCAGGGGGGCGACGAGGAGAAGGCGGAGGAGGAGGACAAGGAGGAGGGGGAATGAGGGGGAGGAGGACGAGGAAAAGGAGGAGGAGGAGGAGGAGGAGGAGGAGGACGAGGAGGAGGGGAAGGAGGGAAAAGGAGGAAGAGGATGAGGAGGGAACGGGGGGGGGGATGGGCGAACTGCGTATCCCCCCCGTGATACATGCCCCATCCAGAGTGCGCGCGACCTTACGCGGGCAGCTTACGCGCCAAGGCCCGTGCAGACGACCCCGCTATTGTGCCGATCGCGTCCCCACTCCGTCGCAGGAAGTGCTCAGACGGCGAGGACCGAACGGGCACTGCGGTGAAAAAACTCAGAGCACGTGCCCCTGCACTTGTTTCTGCGCTCGCAAAGCGCGACGACATGCAACGACCACACGGCGAGAATTGCAGTGGCGAAGGATGCATTTATCACAGCGTTCATTTCAGCTCGTACCAATATTTTGCCTTTTACGATAGGTTGCCGTGAGCCTGCCAGCCGGTGCCCGCCGGCAACCCGGCTGCAGCAGGCTGGACCCGTTTCCAAGAGGCCTCCCAGATGTCGGCGGCGAGCCCGGGGGGGGAAACGAGAAGTGGCGGGCCGTCTCAAAGGCTCTGAAGTCCCACGGCCATGTGAGAAGTTTTCCAGGTTCTAGGCCTGCCCCGAAGGCGCAGAGAACTTCTCAATAGGCGCGATGGCTTCGGAGAAGTCCCGCCGCCTTCTGAGAAGGCCTTCTCCTCTTCATTCCCCCCCGCTCGCCGCCGAAGATGGGGTCGGAGCAGACGGGGTGGGAGGATCGCGCCGCATCGCCGATACATCGACGATTTCTCGGCGACGTCAGCCCGTCTGCAGCAGGCGGCTGCAAGGAGCCCGCGCCGCCGCATCCATGGGGGGCGGGCTCCGGCCAGTTCTTGCCGATGTGAGCGAGGGGCGGGAGGAGGAGGAAGAGGAGGAGGAGGAGGAGGAAGGAGGAGGAGGAGGAGGAGGAGGAGGAGGAGGCGGCCTCCCAGATGGGGCCAAAGCAGGCAGGAACGGAGGATCGCGCCGCGTCGCCGATGCATCGACGATCTCTGGGCGATGCCAGCGATGCATCGGCGCCGTCGGCGCGGCCCCGCGCGGGCAGCCTGCGCGCGGGCAGCCTGCGTGCGGGCAGCCTGCGCAGGCGGCCCGGTGCTTCTTCCCGCGCAGCTCGCCTGCAGCCGCCGCCGCTCCTCCTCCAGGGCGGCGGCCCGCTCCGGAGGCAGGCGCCGCTGCGGCGCGGGCAGGAAGGCGCGCTGGACCTCCTCCGCCACCGGCGCCTCGCCCGCCGCCTCCTCCTCGGGCTCCTCTGGGGCCTCCTCTGGGACCAGGCGTGGCGAGGAGGGGGGGCAGGAGGGAGGAGGGGAGGGGGGACAAACAGAGGAGGGAGAAGTGAGGAGGAGATACTTAGACTGCAAGGCGGACGCGGCCGCGAGAAACCCTTGCAAGAAACGGAGCCCCGAATGACCCGCGCGCGAGATGCACACGGGGGGGAACCCAGAGCACAATGAGCGCAGCACCTTCTTCAACGGCCGCGGGAAGTCTCTGCGCAGCGCCCGGAGCGAAGAAAACCAGGGCACCCTGACGAAAAAAACGGGTCTTACGCGAGATGACATCGCGACCTTACGCCGCGGCTTACGCGGGCCGCCGGCGCGGCACGCCACATTGGAGACGAGGGCGCTTACGCGCGACCTCACGCGGGCAGCTTGCACGCGAACGTCGGTAAAGACGACCCGCTTCTTTTTGCGTCGCTCGTCTGGTTTCTTGATGCGCGTCCCCATTGCGTGCGCGCCCCTTGGAGGGGCAAACGTCCCGGGGCGGTGTGTGGCCAGAACGCGCCCGCCAGCGAGCATACATGAAGGGGCCCTGGGACACACAAATAAATAGACACAAATAACAGGATTCCCTATATTTTCCGAGATGTTCTGCATGTCCTCCTGCAGGGCATGTCCTCCTGCAGGGCGATCTTGGAAGAAAGCTCGAACACGGTCAGAAAATGCCCATGCACAGAATCAGAAATAGTTTCATTTTTATTTATTTTTAATAAAAACATAATCGTCCCACGACTACTGTTTTGACTATTTAGGGATCTTCCTCCTGCAGAGGGACAGACCCGGCTTAGCCCTGGGGTGCCGACGCACACATGATGTAATCGGGGATGGACAGAACCCCCTTTCGTAGAACGTGGTTGAGCGAAAAGGACCTCGGGCCCAAACCTGGCGGGCGCAAGCCTGGAAAATGCTGGCCGCGGCGGCCTCTCAAGGACCGAAATCGGACAGCTCACTGATCAACGTGTCAAGGGGGGGGGGGGGGTCCACCCCCGATGTCAGTATGTTTGGGCGATTCCGAGCCTCCTCCTCCTCGTCGGCCTCCTCTGGGGGAACATAATCTTAGGTCGGGCCTGCCCCCCTCAAGGGGGATTCTGGGCGAAAAAATAAAAATACTCGGAATCCGCACCAAAAATGCTCAAGTTGTCAAAAAATAGTCCCCATGATACGTTTCAACTATTTTTGAACATCCCTCCTGTGGAGGGATCAGGCCCGACTTGACCATAATCACACTTTCGGAGCTCCGCGCGGATGTCTCGGATCTGCGCTGGGCCCGCCCCCTCCGTCGCGGTGCCTCCGGCGCCTCTGGGCGGGGCCTCTGGCGCGTGTTCCTTCTTCGGCCTCGACCTCCGGAGGTGCGACCCTGAGATCCGACGTGACGAAAAAATGACAACATTGAAGGGGCCCTGGGACACACCAACAAATAGACACGAGTGACAGGACTCCCCACATCTTCCCCGCTTTTCTGCGTGTGTTGTCTCCCCCCCCGCTTCCCATCTTTTCCCATATTTTTTGGGGGAATCGACGATGAATTGTGTCTGTGTGTTTTTCCCCCCTCCTGGAACATCGCCAAAACCAGGGACCACCGCGCGGGACCCCATCCTTCCTGCGTCCCCTTCCGAGCCGCATCGGTCCGTGGGGGCCCCGGGGCCCGACGCGGGGAGCGAGCGCGCCCGGTGCGAGCAAGGCTGCCAGGCCGGGCTCTCGGGGCAACGCCTTCCCTGGCGCACGCCTTCTTCTCATCGGCGGTTCGCCATTGAGCGGAAGCCTGGTGCGAGCAGAGCTGCCAGGCCAGGATCTCGGGGCAACGCATTCCCCGGCGCACGTCTTCTTCTCATCGGCTGTTCGACATTGAGCGGAAGCCCGGTGCGAGCAGAGCTGCCAGGCCAGGATCTCGGGGCAACGCCTTCCCCGGCGCACGTCTTCTTCTCATCGGCTGTTCGCCATTGAGCGGAAGCCTGGTGCGAGCAGAGCTGCCAAGCCAGGATCTCGGGGCAACGCCTTCCCCGGCGCACGTCTTCTTCTCGTCGGCTGGTCGCCATTGGGCGGAGGGGTTTGGACGCCCGAAAGGGGTACTGCAAGAATGGGTACAGGGCCCAACAGCGAATGTTCAGGATCTCGGGGCAACGCATTCCCCGGCGCACGTCTTCTTCTCATCGGCTGTTCGACATTGAGCGGAAGCCCGGTGCGAGCAGAGCTGCCAGGCCAGGATCTCGGGGCAACGCCTTCCCCGGCGCACGTCTTCTTCTCATCGGCTGTTCGCCATTGAGCGGAAGCCTGGTGCGAGCAGAGCTGCCAAGCCAGGATCTCGGGGCAACGCCTTCCCCGGCGCACGTCTTCTTCTCGTCGGCTGGTCGCCATTGGGCGGAGGGGTTTGGACGCCCGCAAGGGGTACTGCAAGAATGGGTACAGGGCCCAACAGCGAATGTTCAGGATCTCGGGGCAACGCATTCCCCGGCGCACGTCTTCTTCTCATCGGCTGTTCGCCATTGAGCGGAAGCCCGGTGCGAGCAAAGCTGCCAAGCCAGGATCTCGGGGCAACGCCTTCCCCGGCGCACGTCTTCTTCTCATCGGCTGTTCGCCATTGAGCGGAGGGGTTTGGACGCCCGAAAGGGGTACTGCAAGAATGGGTACGAGGCCCAACAGCGAATGTTGATCGGCTGTTCGCCATTGAGCGGAAGGGTTTGGACGCCCGAAAGGGGTACTGCAAGAATGGGTACAAGGCCCAACAGCGAATGTTGATCGGCTGTTCGACATTGAGCGGAGGGGTTTGGACGCCCGAAAGGGGTACTGCAAGAATGGCTACAAGGCCCAACAGCGAATGTTGTCCCAGACCAACAGCGGCCGCTGTTGGGCAGGCGGCCTTCTGTCCCACACGGACGCAGGCCGCGGCAACACCGACAGCGAGTCCTGCTCAAAATGAACAGGAACTGCTGTTGGGCAATGTACCCATTCTTTCCGTACCCATTTCGGGCGTCCAGAAGGGGGGGGTCTGGCTGCGCACCTCTGCTGCTAGTTGCGACCTCTGCTAAAGATCCACTCCAAGGGGGGGAGGGGGGGGTCTGGCTCTGCGACCTCTGCCAGCTGCGACCTCTGCTGACGATCCACTCCAGGGGGGGGGGAAGGAGGGGGTGCGAGGGCCCGCGCCCGTCGGCAGAAAAACGAATCTAAAAACGGCCACAAGGAGCCACGTTTTCGCCCTGGGTTGTCTCGTTGACGGCCCCGCAGCCCGGCGAGCACCCCCGCGGGGCGTACGCTTATAGGTCGGGCATGTCCTAATACTAATGCAGGTGGATTTGGACGACAGATTCCAAAATAGCCAGTCATATTCAAAACATAATTTTGAAACGTCGTCCCCCGACCAGCTTTAGACCACTGCTGAAGATCCCCTCTGTATAGAGGGACACGCCCGACTTCACCGACCGCCCCGCTGCTGCAAGAGGCCGGCCGTGCGCCCTGCCGCGGCCCCGAGGGGCATCGGCGCGCCCCCGGGCTCGGTCTCCCCGCCGGCCGTTCGGTACGGGCACCGGCCCGGAGAGCGCTCCCGGCGAGGCGGAGCCTCAGCGCGCCCGGAGGCTTCGAGTGGGGAGTCGACTGCATAGTGGAGTCGAGCTGCAGAACTGTGCTGAGATTTCTCTCCAGTTCTGTTGCGAGCACGTTTTCGGACCGCCCCAGAACTGGTCTTCTCGTCGAACCTACAGAACAGACCTGTAATCTTCTCAATCGATCTGCGAACCTCCTGCGCATTCCCAGTAGATCCGATGGGGAAAATACATTCGGGGGCCAATCAGATCTGTGTAGTCGATCCCCCACTGAAAGGCTGGAGCACCGCGGAGAGCCGCCCCAACCAGCCTCCGAGACGCCCCTCGCGCGAGGCCCCGGAAGCGTGTGCCCGTGCCGTGCTCCTGCTTCGCCCCGCGCCCTCCGCGCCCGGCAGGTCGATGGCCCGGGCGGTCTGAGCTGGCTGGGCTCCGAGAAAACCAGCCAAGACGGCGGGATGGAGGATTGCAAAAAAAAACCTTCGAAGGATTGCAAACAAAAACAAAAAAAAACCCTTCGAAGGATTGCAAAAACCCTTCGAAGGGTTTTTTTTTGCAAAAATGTTTTTTTTTTGCAATCCTTCGAGCAGATCCGCTCGACATCGGCCCCGGGAGCCCTCTCGGGCCCCCGGGGCCCACGCGGTGCAAGCTTCCACCCCGGCTCCGACTTCGACGGGACCCCGTGGCCCGAGAAGGGCTCCCCCGGAGGCCGCAAGGGGCAGGCAGCCTTCTCGGACCAGGTGCCTCGAACCTCGCCCCCCTCGTGCTCGCTGGAACCACATGCTGGGCCACCTCGCTGCCCCCGGCCGGCCCCACCAACCATCGATGAGAGGCAGGGGTGGGTGGGGTTCGGATTTCGCCACGCGTTCGACGACTTCCGAACCCAGACTTGCGACGCCCTGCTTTTTTCAGGACGGCGCCCCCAGAAGTCCCGACCCTCTCCCCGGAGCCGGTTTGTCATCCTGAGTCGTTTTTGTCACGGTCCTGGGGCCCGGCGAGGGCCTCGAGAGGCCCAAAACGACGAAAAACCCTCGTCCTGAACTTTTTACGACGCGATCATGTCTGGGAAGTCTACCCCCGCCGCCCATCGCCTTGCCTGAATCTCTGAGCGGCCCGGGCGGTGTGCCGACGCAGGGTGACCTTTGGCCGATCGCTGCGCGCGGTGCTGGCCCGCCGCTGCCGCCACCGCCGTCATCGCCGCCGCCGCCGGCACCGCCGTCGTCGTCGCCACCCGTCGCCGCCGTCGTCGCCGCCGCCGCCGCCGCCGCCGTCGTTGCCACCCGTCGTCGTCGCCGCCGCCGCTGTCGTCGTCGCCGTCGCCGCCGTCGTCGCCGCCGTCGTCGTCGCCGCCGCCGCCGCCGCCGCCGCCGTCGTCGTCGCCGCCGTCGCCGCCGCCGCCGTCGTTCTGCGCTCCTCGCCCTCCGCGCCGAGCAGGTCGACGACCTCCGCGCGCGGCCGCACCAGGCGCCGCGGCGGGGGCCCCGGCGGCGGGCGCGGCGTGGCCAGCGCCGCCGGGCCCGCGGC